GTTGACTCTTGGATCTTCCCTCTGGATAACAGTCCTTAGAGAGAGCTTATTGTGCCTGATACTGTTGACTCTTGGATCTTCCCTCTGGATAACAGTCCTTAAAGAGAGATTATTGTGCCTGATACTGTTGACTCTTAGATCTTCCCTCTGGATAACAGTCTTTAAAGAGAGATTATTGTGCCTGATACTGTTGACTCTTGGATCTTCCCCCTGGATAACAGTCCTTAAAGAGAGATTATGGCTGATATTGTTGAATCTTGGATCTCCGTGACCTGGCCATATAACCCATGCCTCAAAAAAAGTTGAAAATATCAAACACTTCTAATATCTGAACAGCTAAACATAAAAGTAATTAATTATTTGGCCATTTTAAGTGTTGATGCAAACGAAAGGTAAAGACCAGGGAGGGAAGGTCAGAAGTGTGTTGCTGAAAAATAACAAATGTGACTCTGATGCTAACAGTTTCTGTGTGTGTGTGTTTTACAAGAAATATATCTGTTTAATTCTTTTGATTTTTAAATCTTGTTAGTTTGCATCATCGTCTAAATACACTTCATGTTTAATACTAAAATGGTTAGAAATTTTCACTTTTGATGGGGGGGGGGCTTAATCCTTGAAATCACTAGTCATATCCCTCTTGAATTAAAAGTTATTTTTAGTATGTGAGAATAGAGGATCTGAAGATTTTTCTGTTACTTTTACAAACGGGAAACAAATCTGTGCATGATTGGAAGTTGTTAAAAAAATATTGTGTGTAGAAGGTGTGTTTTATAAGTGTTGTAAGGATTGTCCATATTTATTTAATAGTTTCAAGTAATAGTGAAAGGATTTATTGAATTTTGTTTTACTCTCCATCACTTTTTTAAATTACTTTTATTTCCAGGTCCTATGTTGGGATTATCAGCAGCTGCCAGTATTGGGGTTGATGACCTGCGTCGTCTTTGTATATTAAGATTGAGTTTTGTGAAAGGTTGGGGTCCAGATTATCCACGTCAAAGTATCAAAGAAACACCTTGTTGGATTGAAATCCACCTCCATAGAGCACTGCAGCTTCTTGATGAGGTTCTTCACACGATGCCTATTCACGATCCTCGTCCTCACGACTGAAAATGTTTCATTTTAATTGATGCAGACTTTGATTTGGCCTCAGAGGAACTGATATGCATTTGCTTGGAGAGAATAATAAAGAGAAAAAATTTTGAATTACTGATAACATTGTGTCAATCTTTATTTGTATAGTGCTTTTCTATATATTTTATTTTTATTATAATACATAGTTTCACTGCTTTAGAACTTTGTAATATCATTATTCTGACTGTTGTACTTTCTCGATGCACTGGGCAAAGAATGTTGAATCAGTTGTGAAGCTAGTTTGAAAAACAGAATAGTGGTTACCATAGTATCTTGTCTGTTGAAGTGGAGAACAGTTAGAAGTAGGCTTAAATGAAATATGAAATTAAAACTAGTCCAAATAAAATCGATTAGAAACTGTAGTTAACATAAGTTTAAAACAAATTCTTGAAGAAGGTAAGTGGCAATATCTAAAACCTTTTTTTTTTTTACCTGCGTAATGTTCTTTATATATATAAATATATCTTTTTCTTCCCAGTCTCATTCTCATGTTTTAGTGTTAAACCTACTTCAAGTTCACATACAGCTTGTTACTATAAGTACACTTATTTCTTTCTTGCTTCCTAGTCTCATTGTCATGTTTTACTGTTAAGCCTATTTCAAGTTCACATACAGCTTGTTACTGTAAGTACACTTATTTCTTTCTTGCTTCCCAGTTTCATTGTCATGTTTTACTGTTAAGCCTATTTCAAGTTCACAAACAGCTAGTTACTGTAAGTACACTTATTTCTTTCTTGCTTCCCAGTCTCATTGTCATGCTTTACTGTTAAGCCTACTTCAAGTTCACATACAGCTTGTTACTGTAAGTACACTTATTTCTTTCTTGCTTCCCAGTCTCATTGTCATGTTTTACTGTTAAGCCTACTTCAAGTTCACAAACAGCTTGTTACTATAAAATCCTTTTTTCTTTTTTAAATAATGAAGATCTTTAAGTATGATTGTTTTATACAAATGAATAAACAGTTTTTATAGATAAGTTAAAGTTCTTCAACTTGACTTGTGTGTCATAAATTCATTAAAAATACTTGTGTACAGCTGTAAATCTTTCAAAGTGTTTTCTTGTAAAACAGGGAGATGTTTTTTAAGTCTGTGAATTGTGTAGGTTTACAAGATGTAAATGTTTACAGAAACTTTGGGTTTTTTATTCTTCAACCAATTGTGACTTACAGTGTGGACCAAATCATTACTGGATTCAACTATCTTGTAAGATTAAAGGCAGTATGTACCCAAGGAACATTCAAATCTTTACGTGCTATTAATTACTGGATGTTGTCAATGAAATACAAGAATTTTATTCATTTTGATTACTTTTATTAGTTAGCTGCCATTGTAAAGTATACATATAAATGTAACAGTTACCAGTAAATTATTACTTTATGAGTATTGACTACTGTAACTAACATGAAAAATTGTAAAGACTTTTTTTTTTACTTTTGAACAGTATTTGTTAATTTACATTTTGCCATATTCTTATCTGCTTTTGTCATTTTGTTACTGAAAAATCTCGGTTATTGTAACAGTTGTGTGTTTTACAAGCACACATTTCTTAAACTAATGTTTGAATCTAAACGTTTACGTGGATATGTTTGTACCCCCTAAAGTTTCTTTTATCATATATACGAATATATTTTGATCATAGTAGTATTGATACAAATATTATGAATATCAGTGGTCTGTGTTTGTAATATGATCTACTTCTCTTGTAAAACTAATAAAAAAACCTAAAACTGATCATGTAAAAATACGTTAAATAATTACTATGGCTTGAATGAGTGTAACTTATCCACTGCTGGTATGTGTGTGAAGGGTTTGCCGGTGTACTTATACTTTGTATCTGTAGTGAAAGTTTCTTGCAAGGTAATTAAGGAATGTACAGTCTGAACAGAATATGAAAGAACAGTTTGTAATTGGATATCAAATCAATATTAAATAAACGCAGAACAGTTTTAACACATTAGACAGTTGTTGTTTTCACGGCTGTTTTATTTCATAAAATCAGAGAAATTATGTTTTGGTACTACAGTTTTAAGTTATACATTTCTATGGCGGTACTGAACAAAGGTGACACAAACTTGATATATTTTGGTTGAACAAAGGTGACATAAACTTGATGTACCGGCATAGAAATGTATAACTTAAAACTGTAGTACCAAAACATATCAAGTTTATGTCACCTTTGTTCATTTCTATGCCGGTACAGTTTTAAGTTATACAGTAGTACCAAAA